ACGCCAACCCCCTCACTTCTCGTCCCTTCTCCGACGCATTTACCCATTTTCCGACGTTCCTTCCCTCTCCGGCAGCATAGCTCATCCGTCATTACCCCTCTTTGCTCGATTTCTTCTCCCAAAAAGGTAAAACCTAGTTTTTTTTTTTTTTTTTTTTTTTTTAATTTGAAGAATGTAATGGCGCATTCACTCCACATCGCAGCACACCCTCTGACCTCCCATCTTCGGCGTGCTCGTTCGTCATCATCTATGGCTATCGTTGGTGATGGCTGCGATTTCGGTGTTGTGGAGGCTGGAAAAACACGAAGAAACAGCCCAATCGTTATGATTTTCAGCTTGTGAACACAAGATGTGAAGGTAATTTCTATAAACCTAAGGTAACGTCGGTTTCGTTTGGAATTGTTGATTTCATGTTGAAATTGGTTGATAAATCCTAAAATTGCTTATGGATGGAAGCTTTTGAGGACATTAGAAACCTCAATACATGAATCAATTCTAGTTTCTTGAGGTTGAAGATGATGAACGATAGTAACATTGACTTTTCTGTTTTGGTCAAACCTGGATTTAGAGTAAAATAGCATCTAATGGTAATCATGAGCATGATTAGAAGCTTGAAATTTATGTAAAAACACAAATATGTTGCTATTATCTTCATGAACTTTATAACTTGTTATTTTTAGAAACTTTGTTGAAAGTAAATTGTCAAATTTTGTATAAGGTGACTAATTTCAAAGGTGTTTGACAACCTAAGCATTGGTTCTTCCTAAAAACAGGTTGGCATGAAAGATTCATGAAATTTCACTCTAGAACTTAAAGAAAACACATGCAGGCAAGTAGGATGCCCGAATGAGAAAAATATCAAAAGGGATCACATGTATTGCTTTTGGGGGAACCTTAATTTTGACAGAAGAGGAGCTACAATGGCTCTTGGTTTAGATAATAGCACATTACCAGGTCCGTTAATTTCTTTATGTGTATTCAAGTCTTTATTAATTCTAGTTTTTATAAAGTTAATATTTATGAATCAGAATGTTTCTTTATTAGGCATAGATGATTAGATGGATTGAAATGGTGTTTTTTTTTTTTATCATTTAACATTAGTAAAAATGGTTTGTAGATGCTATTTTTCACTATTATGAACACTAGGAAAAATGGTTTGTTTGTTAGATGATATTTTGTATCTGTTAGCATTCATGTGTTAAAATTAGTTTGAATGGTATGAATATTAGTTACCATGATAAATAATTCCCACATTATTATTAACATCGCTTGCATAATATGATTTCTTTTATATGCTAAAAGAAAATTATAACTAACTTATTGTAACTAAATAACAGTTGCACATTCTTTCAATTAGTAATTGATACTTGTTTTTACATTTTTCAGGCAAGCTTGTACATTGTTAGTTTGATACTTCCTTTGCGAAGTAATCCATCAAAAAAATTTCAATTTTATTTTGTAAGCACCTATTTAAACATTTGTAGTTGACACTTATTATGTTTATCATGTTTATCATTAGACAATGTTAATTAGTAACATGTATTTGTATTTGATACTTTTTTAGGTTTATTAGTTTTATTATAATGATATTTGTTTTGTAGTTGAATTTCAATATTATTTTAAGTTTAATGTAATGGGTTTTTTTTAATATTTTGGACAGAAAAAACTGGATTTCTTTATAATTTTTATTGTTTTTTTTAAATAAAAAGTAATTAGCTACGGATTACCTACAAAAAATCCGTAACTATTTACTTCCATAGCTATTCCGTAGCTATCCATTTCCGTAGCTATTCCGTAGCTATCAACTTTCGTAGCTATTCTGTAGCTATTCAATTTCGTAGCTATTGAGTAGGAAATCCGTAGCTATTTATTTCCGTAGCTACTCCGTAGCTATTCCGTAACTAATCTGTAGTTATAATTTTCCTACGGGCCATTATGCTACAGGCATTTTTCCGTAGCTATCCGCTTATAGCTACGGATGTGCTGTAGCTATTGCACCAGTTTTCTAATAGTGAAACTGTAGGCGGAACTTGTGACGAAGAGTATAGTTTTAGGTACTTGATTCTCAATAAATTCCATCTTCCGTATTACTCCTCTCGACTAGAAGCTATTTATTTTGAATAACAAGGATATCATTGCTTAATTAAGATTGAAATTTTCGTTTTTATGGTAAAAAATATTATTTTGAATGGGTATCAAATAACGAATAAAAAGAAAATAACTATCTTTAAATAAAGTATTAATATATTGAACATATGACACCAAGTGTTACAAAATACAAATTAAAAGCAATTTTGGTTAAAAAAACCCCTAAATACTTAGACATTGAACAGCTACACCAAATAAACGGAAGGCATGCACATAATTAATTTCCATAGAGAACATACTATACAAATATGTTCCATTTATTTAGAGCACCAGGTTAAAACCCATGTACTACACGGGTGATAAATTAACATAACTTAGATTTTAGAAATAAAAATTAAAGAATTAGCAACATAATTTCATTTGTCTAATGTTGAATGCATGATTTAATGAAAACTAAAAATCAAATAGAAATGTAGTGCATTGTTATTTCTGACTATATAAGAAACCTCATCATACCTATTACTTTGAAAAATTTACCCAACTTTAGCATTGAGCTTCTATTTTTTTTTCTTAAATAGGCATCACATTTTATCTCTCCAATTAATGTTTAACTGTTTATGCATACATTTAACTTGTTTATCAATTACATTTCATCATACACACAGTCAAACAAATGGTGATACAGTCATGCATTTATAACTGCAAATAAAAAAAATAAAATGACAGTTTGACGTTATAGAAAACAAACCAAGTAAAGTAAATTTTTAATCCTTGCATTAAACCATTTTCATCTAAATAAAAAAAAAATAATAATAATGAATCTATGTGGTATAGAATATTGATGCCATTGATTTATCCAAAAATTAGCTTATCTTAGTTATTTTACAAATAATCAAACTATATGTTAAAACGAAGTAACCAAAGTTTATGGTACATAACGATATTTATTATTATACTTTTTAATATTGATGTAAATTTTATGAGGTTGAAAATTGGTGCCATTGATATTTGAGAAAAATAATATATAAAGTTTAATGTATCTTGAAGAAAATGTTATAAATCTGTTATATAACCTGAGATTTTAAGGAAGCTGTTTGGGCCTCGGATCCCTATGCATTGCATTGCCTTGCTAGCTTTCAAATTCAAAAAAAATAAATAAATAAATAAAATAAAAAAATAAAAAATAAAAATAAAAATACTGTCTAAGGACCATAAGACAAAAAAACCAAGCGTTTTCAAAGATCGGTTATTGATCTAGTCAACTGATATGTTTTAAACAACTTCAGGCATAGCATATGTTTGACACATGTTGAATTCTTTTACATTGTTCAATACCAACATTCTTCTCATTGTCAACTGTGAAAAAAGAGATCTCACTTGTAACCAATGTGTGGTTAAACTTTGTTTAATGTGCATTGTAGATAGGAAAAAAGCTACAATCTTTTGTCAGTTACCACATTATCATATTTTTTGTAAAATACTAATGAAAATGTCCATATAAGTAAGAAAAATAAGGACGAACTAACCTCAGAGGAATTATCATGAGAACCTGCATACTTCATTGAAGCCTACAATAATCAAGAAAGAAATAAAAAATTTATTAAAAAAGAAAAAGTAAAAAAGAATCAAGAACAATAATAATTAACAAAAACCAAACTCCCCTTTTCTTGAAAGAAGCTCCACAAGGCTTGTATGAACAACAACAAATGGGTTTTTACCATTAATAGCTAAAGTATATGCATTAGGCACTGGACTTCGCCTCACATAAAAATCAAGAGCTTCAATTTCTAGTGCTTCTACTACTACCTGTACCATTAATCATTAATTGATGAAGTTTTAAAAGCTAAAAAAACATAAACAATTTTGACCTATTAATAATATTATTTCTAATTTCTTCTATAGTTTCATGCATCTGCAAGACAAGTCCTTTTAATTTATATATTATCCAAAAAAGTGGCAGTTTATAAGATATAGAGAGATCCTTACGAAGAACTATCCCTCTTTAGAAGTTACCAAACATTTAAAACACCTAATATAACCCAATACAAAAGAGGCTCTTATAATTTTTTTTAGAAAAATGTAACTAAAACATGACCAAGAACCAACTAAATTAAAAATATTACCTTCTCTTGGGCATTTCGACAAACACTTTATGTGCGCTTTCTTTGAGCATGTTAAGAGCTTCTAGAATCAAATTTTTAGAGTCCTTCCCATGAAATCCTCCCCTAGCAACCTCTATAACTCGATCGAAATACACCCATGTTGAAAAATAATTGATATAACATAAAATCATTTAAGAAGAAGAAATTTAGTAAATATTAAGCTTGAAAAGCTCCAACAACCAAATCAAATCAAACCAGTTAGAAAACAATGAGCAAACGTGTGTGTTGAAGGACATAGAGATAAAGATCGTTGATCTTGGGGGATGATTTTTAGAGATAAGGGAAGCCATACCGTGAGAATGTGGGAATCCGCAAAATGAAATGAAGAGATTGTGCAAGAACAAACAATTGCATAACTGATGTTGGTCACAATGTTGGTGTATGATGGTACTCTGCCTGCAAAAACTGAATCCAAAGAGAACAGTGGAAGAAGATGAGAATCGAGCTATATGTAAATACCCCCAAATCAATTACGTGTAATGTCGAATCTCAAAGAAGCAAAATCGTGAAGGGTAAATTGGTTTGCATATATTTATAGGAAAAAAGACATGAACATCATCACAGTGAAAGGAAAATTGAACAAACTACATGGGTGGGTGTCGTCCTTCTGTTTGGTCGATTCCTAGTCATCGTTGATCACAGAGATTACAATCAACCATTCATTTCCCATTGAATCTCTAAGGATGATCATCCTATAAATAGCTTCACATGGGTGCAGAGCTCCGATTCAATCAAATTACAATCAAATTAACGATTCAATCTACTATCATAGTTTCGAAACTATAATTCAAATGTAAAAATAAAAAAAAATAAAAAAAATAAAAAAATAAAAAAAAAACCTTAGAAATTTGTGAAAACATGAATTAAAACATACCTTGGATAGATTTCCTTTGAACGGAAAACGTTTTTAATTTATCTGTGGTCCATATTATCCTAGGCTTAAGCAATTGAAGCAAATGTTGAAACGACTTAAGCAATTAGAATGAAATCGAACTCTTATATAGAGAACCACCGGCAAGGGAAGTTACATAACTGTGGAAGAGAACCGTGCTTTGTGGAAGAAGAAAGAGGAACATGGGTAGAAGGAACTTAAAATGATTGAACCTCCGATTAACCGAAATTCTTGAGTTATTACGACTGAGATTGAAAGAAGAGGGAGTTTTAACGGCCGGGACGAAGGAGATGGTTTTTCCGCTCACCGATCATCAATATAATTTGATACCTTGATTATTGGGATTGTTGTTCAAATTCAAACTAAAAAAAAAGATAATCTTAAATCGGACCAAGAAGACAAAATGCATGAGGTATATAATAGATAAGGGTAACTTCGGAAATTCACTTTGATACGTAGAGTGCACGTAGGATAAATTATACTCTTTTATTAGGATAGACGATTTCCATAGGTAATTATTGTATTTTATATAGGAGGAATGCGCTACAGTAAAACAGGAGAAGCCTTACAAGTACAAACATGACGTCTTTAAACCAAATCAAAATAGAACAATTCTACAGATATCAAAATTACTCGATAGGGGAAGCTCGAGCAAATAGACCAAAAGCTGGATTAATAACAGTAAAACCTCCATCAAGTACTAGATTATGCCCGCTCATGTACCGGGCCTCATCGCTTGCTAGAAAAAGAGCAGCTTCTGCCACATCTTCTATACGCAGCAAGATCCCTTTGAGGTTTGTATAAACTTTGGAGTATTTATCAGGGTGATCTTGTACATAATTTGTAGCCATAGGTGAAGGGATAAAATGAGGTGATAAGCAATTAACACGAATCCCATATTGGCCAAGCTCGGCAGCTGTATTCTTAGTGAGACCCACAAGCGCATGTTTTGAACTCGAATAAGCATGAGAAATGATTCCTCCAATGCTCCCAGACACACTTCCCAACATAATAATGCTACCTCTACGAGCTGGGATCATGGCTCGAGCTGCTTGCTTGGTGCCTAGGAACACACCAGTAACGTTTACTCTCATAACCCTTTCAAAATCTAACATATCATTATCAAGAATACTGAGTTTTCCATCATCTACAATGGCTGCATTGTTGACCATTATGTCCAACCTACCATATTTGGCAAGTGTGATGTTAATGACATTTTCAACATCTGATTCAACAGTCACGTCACAATGGACAAACATAGCGCTGTCAAGACCAATATCTTTACAAACTGCTTGCCCTAAGTCGTCTTGGATATCAGCAATCACGACTTTGGCTCCATGTTTTATGAATAGTCTTGTCGTTGCCTCACCGATTCCTTGAGCTCCACCAGTGACAACTGCTACTTTCATTGACAACCTAAAGAAAAATTAAATAGCGTTACAAGAATGAATTGTTCATGGATTACTCAGAATCTTAGTTTAATTTCTTTAAATTGTGAAAAGAAAAATATAAATGAAGCATCCAGATATATGAGTACAACATAGTTTTGATGATCCTACATCGAAATTCTATCTAATGAAAAGCATAGTTTTTATCATCCTTGCGTCGACCATTATATCTTGAGAACCATCTAAACAACCGTTAGATCTAAGTTTATATGAGTGTTGATAATAAAATCGTTCTCATAGTGAATTGCTTACCATGAAAGTTGAATGATTCTACTCGTATTCTTATTTTACTTTTAAACTTAAAAAAGATTTAGAAAACCGATCGAACTTTATTCTACATTATTTTTATTGTGAAATGTAAAGATCTTGAAGTTCTATCTTTTATAAATTTTATAAATTTTGGGTTACTATATTTGTTTTTGGAATTTACTATATTTGTTTATTGTTTAATTATGATTAATTGCTTTGCGAAGAATCTCACTAATAAGTTTGTAATTTGTGATGAATATACATTTTATTGGTGGTCTTATCAGAATTCGAAAAATAACTAGAAATAATCACCTGTGACTTGCGAGCATTATTTAAACATTCCATGAATAAAACCGATCAAAATCATATGAGCTTAAAATTTTGGAACCGTTTTAAATTAAAATTTCGCAAACAAGATTTTATATTTATTTAAGAACAGTTTTTAATATAAAAACTTGCCGTAGAGGGACTGTATGTATCATCTTTCCAAATATTATTGAATGTCATACAACATCTAAGTAATTTTTGCAGAAATATCAATTACTAACTGTTTAGGGGGTACTAAATTTTGCACGCATTACTCATATTTATTTATGTATGTCTATTTATTATTTATATGAATGTGTACGTATTATGTATAAAACCAAATTAGTAGTAACTATTAATAATAATAATTGTTATTATTATTATAATAATTATAATAATGATGTATTGAGCTATATATATATATATATATATATATATATATATATATATATATATATATATATATATGGAAAAGTGAATATACCTTTAAGGGTATATAAGATTAGGTACCCAAACCCACTATAATTAATTGGTTTATTTGTATAAAACTTCAACCCTAACTTGATTTACTTTAAGAATTTTGAAATTTCACTATTGTTTTCTTTTTATATCATTTTCTTTTACCGAACACCTACTAGGTTATATATATCGGAGTTGAAAATGAAAATTATGTAGGAGGAAGATAAATATGGAATTTATAAAAATTTTAGAAATAAATCAAGTTAGAAGTTGAATTGTAATAACATTAGACAATTACAATGTATACATATGATACCTTTAAGGGTATATACACTTCCCATATATATATATATATATATATATATATATATATATATATATATATATATATATATATATATATATATATATATATATATATATATATATATCATGTTTTTATTATAAAAAACATAAGATTTACCTGGAGACAAATTCTGAAACGTTTGCCATGGTTTTTGATGGCCGGATAAGCAAAAAGTTCTTGCTAATTGCTATAGATTTGATGGGAAAGAAATGAGCGGTGGATGAGTATGCCGAGCAGATGCCTTTAAATATAAAATTTTCCCTTTGTTAGTTTATTCTTGAACACTATTTAATTGGTCTACCGGCCCTTGCATGAAGTTTCTTTCATAAAGAAAAAAAAACACATGTATGTACTATTAATATAATATATTCTAACTACTGTATTTTTTTTATTAAAAACAATATGTTTTAAAATTCTCTATTGGTATGTTGAAAAACATGGCAAAATTTTATTTTATGGAAATATATCGAAGGACACAACATAAAGAATATGGGGAATGAAATCTATTTTCTTTTTACACAACAAGAAATATAATCTTTAGGGACAACACCATTAGGGATGACACGAAGTTTTAGGGACGACACTCGACAATAAGCGTTCTTGTTGTCGCTAAAGCCTCGCGTCGTCGCTAATAAGGTTTGATTGGCGATCCACGTGAATGTTTCCTGATCAAATTTTGTCCCTACAATTGCATCCTGATCCAACGGATGGGGTTAGTTACTGTTCACACCAATAGTTGCGACACCATTTGTGACGACGCTGTCGCCACTAAAGGTGGCGAAAATATGAACGCGTGAATTTCCCTCCGATTTGTCGTCTCTAATGATTCATAGTCGTCCCTAAAGGTGTCGCCCCTACAGGGTTCCACCTTTTGTTCCCCATCAGGTCGCAGAACCTGATTAATTTCCAGTTTCCATTTCTCTCTCATTTTTTCCGGCGATAATTAGGAAGCATTTTCTGGCGAATTTCAGTGCATCCCACTTCTTCCGCCGGAGGGATTTGCAGCTTCTCACCGGGTTTCAGTTGCTCCACCGGCGACTATCACCACCTCAGCTCGCCACAGTCTCCGACGAACTTCTCCACCGGTGAAGGTGCGTTTCCCTTTCTCATTTCCACCGTCTTTTCTCTTTCTCTTTCTCTTTCTCTTTCTTTCTTCTCTAATTTTGTTGATTTTGGTGGTTTTAAGGAGATTTCTCTAATCTCTGACTTTTAGAACCACCACATCAATGCCACTGTTGCCGCCTATCTCCGTCGATGTCAACTGTCTCCGACGACATCCACCGTCTCCGACGAACTTCTCCACTGGCTCCACTGTTTTCAGCTCTACAACCACAGCTGCGTTCAATTTTTGTGTATATGTGTATGTATGAATTTGATATATGTTTGCAAGTTTATTTTGTATAAGGAATTTGATATATGTTTTTGTCTATTTGAAAATGTATTTCAAGAAAAATTGTTTGATATATGCGTGTCTATATGTGTATATGTATATGTATGTTTGGAATATGTATGTCTATTTGGTATGTTTGGAATGTGTATATGTCTATTTGGTATTTTGTATATGTGTATTTGTATATGTATAATTGGTATTTTGTATTTGGTATTGAATTGGTATGTGTATATGTCTATTTTGTAAGTGTATACGTATGTATGTATGTGCATTTGAAAATTTGTTTTGAGCAAAGTTTGATTGTATATTAATTTAGTGTATATATGATGTTATAATTGCAAGTATGTATATAGAAAAAAAGATAACATCAGTGCAACATTTTTAAATAACAACTTTTTGTTCACAAATAATATGTATGAATAATAGAAAAAAAGAACTGCATAAAACTTTTGTAGGGTGACTATTAAGTAAGAATATTTTGTTTTTATAGTATGATATATTTTAACTTATATTCTTACTTTGTAGGATGTGGATGTTAATGTTTTTCTACAAAACCCGACGTTTGTGACGGTAATTGAAGATATTATGCGCTCATTTAGCAAGCAAGTCGACAATGCGACCAACAACAACGATGAAAACGATGATGGGAAAGACGATTAATATATATTTTTTATGTTATGGATGATGTTATTATAGATTTAGATGATGTTAATGTGATATACTTTGTTTATGTTATTTGATGTTTTATGTAATTCAGATTTTTAAATTATATGTTTTATAATTTTATAAATTCTGTATTTTTATATTATAAACTAATATAAAATATAAATTTTATCTAAATAAACAATCATAAGTGGCGACACCGTTAGGGATGATCATAAGCATTAGCGACGACACATCCAGCCGGAATATTTGGCCGGAATAATACTGGTCGGTGGCCGGAATATTATTAGCGACGATAAGTATTAGAGACGACGCTTTTAGGGACAACTTTGGAGTATTAGCTACGAGGTATTTGAGGTGACCCAATTGAGACGACAAGTCGTCCCTAATACCTTTAGGGGCGACTTTCTTGACTATTAGCGACGCTTTTTGTTGTCCCTAAAGGTGCCTTTTTTTTGTTGTGTTAGTTGTATATTTGTCGAAGGAAATTTAAAAAGTAATTATATAATATGATCAAAATACATTATTATTGATTTTTGTTTATTTATTACTATTTTTACTAAAAAAACATTTCATATACTTCAAATTTTTACTTACTGCTTACGAGCTCAAACTTTGTGTTTTTTTCTTGAATTTGCCATAATATGAAAAGTGTATATATATATATATATTGTTGGGCTGAAAATTATTTTGAAGATTGCGTCTTTTGAGCTCGACAGATTATGTTACTTTGTATTCCGGTTTGGGCCTGTCCAACCGTGAACCTTTTATGTTTTGTATATAAGTTTACGTTTGCATGCATATTAGGTTAAGGTTTTAGAGATCTGAAAACAGCGATACATCTAGACGATAACAGGTTTCTTTGATCATTCCTGTAACCTTCCAATCCTCTACAGTTGATGTTCTTAATCGAGCTCTTCTGAGGATTTTGTTTAATCATTCGACACGTTTGATTCCATCTTGAATTATTCTTTTTATTACGTTCATTTTGTTTTTTTTATATACTTGTTCAATATCTAATCGATCTTTATAGATTAAAGGTTAGTTTAATCTCAACAATTGGTATCAGAGCAGGAGGCTGTGTAATCGATACACATCTTTTCTGTGAAAAAGATTTCAATTAGGATTTTTCCGCAATCATCAATATTTATTGAGCCGTCATCTCTTTATTGACGTATCTTGACATTTATTGTTTTGCCCTAATCTGCTTTATTACAAGTCTGATCTTTGAACAGGTTTTTTCGATCATAATGGATGCGACGCAATCAAACCTTATTAATATTTCCAACAGCATCGGTTCGACGACAAAGATTCCAATCTTATACACCCATGACTATGAAGTATGGGCGCATCACTTTGAAGACTACGTGATTGGATCGGAGGATAATGGGTATCTCATATGGGAAGCCATCACCAATGGACCGTTTTCTCATTCTGCATCGTCAAGAATCATCAAGACACAAAAGGAGTACAATGATCTGCTAAAGGACGTGAAGGACATTGCACAAGATGAAAAGGATAAATTCCAGTGCAATATCAAGGCATTAAGGTTGATCAGATTCGCCCTTCAGTCCAACACATTTAGGTTGGTTAGCTCATGCACGACGGCAAAGGAAGTTTGGGATAGACTTCGTGAACTGTATTCTACAGACGAGGATCTTGAACATTCTATTCAAACTTTGCTTTTATCTGAGTTTGGAGAATTCAGGCAAGGAGCCGAAGAAACGGTGACCCAGACGTTTGATCGCTTCAATCATCTTCTCAGCAAGATGATTAAACACGATATTGAAAGGAAGCTTATCGAACAGAAGGTTACTTTCTTGAACGGATTGAGGTCTGAATGGAGAGCAGTAGTTTCCACAGTCAAAGCCCATGAGCAGTTTAAATCATACTCTTTGGCGAAACTGGTGGGTATTCTTAAGTCCCAAGAGAAGATTGTGGTGCAAGAAAAGAATGTCGTTACTAGTCTTGGTTCGTTGGCCCTCCTATCTAAAAGTAAAGCTGTGATGGAGGATGAAGACCTCAACCTGGAGGAATATGATCTCACGTCTGAGGATTATGCCATGATGGTGTCCAATCCCAAGAGGTTCATAAAGAAGAGATTCCCCAGCAACAAAAACCGAAACTGGCAGGGGAGTTACAGCTCTGAAAAGGTGAACAATGAACCGAAGGCTGAGGAGCACAAGAAGGAACCGAAGGTGGATGGCGATTCCGGAGTAAGCTGTTTCTACTGTGGTGGGAAAAACCATATGCCAAGGACTGTGTCCTTAAGAAGATGGCTGAAAAAGATGATGGAAATGATGAGGAAGCTGTGTTGCAGAAAAGATTGGACGAGTTGAGAAAGAAGAAGTCTACCGCTAACCCTTCTATTAATGCTCTTATTGTGCAGGGTTCGGTTAAAGGTGACGAGTTCGGTAGCACGGAAGTTTGGTCTACCGACTCAGAAGACGATGAAGTGAGGAAGCCTACCCATGGAAAGGCTTATGTGGCTAAGGAGGAAAGCAGTGGAGGAAGATGCTTCATGGTGACTGACGTATCTCAAATGAGGGGATACAACACCGATGGAGGAAGCGATGGACCGAAGGTACAGGAGGATATGTGTTTTGCGGCCAAACCACTTAGCCAACAGTTCAGTGAGCTCGATGAACTGATAAAGAAGGTACAATCTGTTTTTGTTTCATCCAAAGTACCATCAACCTCATATGAGAAAGAACTAAAAATGTTAATACAAGAATTTCTCATCTAGATAGTAGCTTAACTCAAACTCGAGTCACCAATTCTAACCTAACTGATCAATTGAGCAGGGTGGCATCGAAAAGTGAGGAGCGGAGAATGTGGATCGAGTTAAAGGAGTCGGAATTAGTTAAAGTTAGAGACGAAAACATTTATTTGCAAAGAGACAATTTAAAATTGTTAAAACAGCGGAATGTTTTTTGTTTAATTGCTAAACGTTTGTACTCTAATATTACTCAGCTTCACTTGGATTGTGAAATAGGCCAAAAGATCCATCGCATGATTTTGCCCTTCCTAGAGTTTAAGGAGGATGAAATCGATGCCGAAGCCTACAATTGTGAGAGTGTGATATCGTCTGATGATGTCAATCCGACCTACATGTATGGACTGGACAAAATTGAGTCCTTCATTAAATCCAAGACCACAAGGACATGCTTAAAAACTTTTGGATGAAAATGACAGACTTAAACTGAGAACCGAAACCATGCAAAAATTTGACTCTTTAAACGCCAACGTAAGCTCAGAAAACAAAATTGATGTTGAAAATGCATCTGAGCTTAACGAGGACGAAAACATGAGTGAAATTTCTGTAGAGGACACGGTTGACTGCTCAGAATTTATTAAAACGAACCTGAAAACCACAAGAATCTTATTTCTGAAAATTCAGTGGAGTTCGCTCGGTTGTCCCATCAAAAGTCCCCATATTAGTTGAGAAAGCAGTTGTGTATCAAAAGGTCAGGACCACTCCGAATCAAGTATACAAGGTGACAGGAGTTACCGAACATCAAACAGCTGAACTCACAGCTATTGTAAACGAAGACAATGCTGATGGCTGCGATGAGTACTTCTGGGAAGCTCCAATAGATAATGCAAACGAAACCATTGGTTTATCTGAAAGAACCTCCTGGAAGAGCAAAGGAAGATACATACCTGAACCCTTGAATAAGCCGGACAATTTCGATGAGCCAAGTACCAGTGGTACAAAAGATATTCCTCAGAAGGATGATCGTTCGGTAAAGGAAGACATTCCCTCTGCTCCTTCGGCTCAAAGTAAAACTCCTGCAGTTCAAAAGGAACCAGCCAAGGAGACACCGAAAACGAAAGCAAATGTTCATCATCAACCTACACAGATGAGGAATAGGAAGAGAGAAAGGAACAATAGATACAGGAAGAACCTTTCTGAAAGGAAACAATTCTGGCATTCCCAGAATGCATATTTCTCACACCAAGACAAGAATCTGAAGTATGAAAACAATCCTGTAGGAAAGCTTGAAAGTCACAAAAACCGAAAGCCAAGGTTCGGTTCACAAGAAGATATCAACCGAAGGCAAAGGTTCGGTTCTGAAAAAGACTTCAACCGAAACCAAAGGTTCGGTTCCAAAGACAGCTCCAACCGAACGCAAAGGTTCGGTTCTGAAGTCAAAAGAGAACAAAACTCTAAGGTCAGTCCCTCCAACGATCAAAAGCAAAAGGGTCACCTAGAGTCTCCAGCCAGGAAATCCTCTCAATCCAAACCCTCTCGTTCTAATTCTTCTCGTTCTTCTAATTCTTCTACTTCCACCGATTTATCTCCATCTTATTCTAAAACTGATTCCTCTTGTTCTCAAAAATCTCATTCGTCAGCTGAACAAAAGGGAAAGCAGAAGGTCAATGAATCCAAACCAGAGTCCAAACCGAACACACCCAATCCTAACAAAATAAAAGTTTTTACCATTAAAAGGAAAGATGAAACAACTCTTATAAAACGAACTTATCTTGTTGACGTCTCTCTTACTGTTCCCGTTCCCATGCAAAGCTCACGTGGACCCAAGAAACTTTGGGTTCCTAAATCTGCCTAATTTTTGCAGGTTATAAGTGACGAGCAGTTCGACGAAGAATGGTACATCGATAGTGGCTGCTCACGTCACATGACAGGGAGGAAAGAGGAGCTTAGGGAATACAGATCTCTTGCAAATGGTGGCAACGTCAAGTTTGGAAATAATTCTTTCGGCACCATAAAGGGATACGGGATGATAACAAATGGGGACTTTACTATAAGGAAGGTGGCTTATGTGGAAGGACTCCAACACAACCTCATTAGTGTATCTCAGCTTGTTGGAGGTACAGGTCTCAAAGTCTCGTTCGATGATGAAGGTTCTGAAATCATAGAGAAAAAGACAAAGAAAGTGATTCTCAAGTCAGAGCGAAAGGGTGAAATGTTTCCCTTAAACCTTAAACCCATCAAAGGAAACCCAGCTATATGCTTGTTGTCAAAAGCTCAATCC